TCGCCACGCTGGACGTCACAGCGCACGCGGGCCGGCTGCCCTCGCAGCTGCCCGTGCTGTACGTGGACACCGTGGGCTTCCTTTCCCAGCTGCCGCACGGCCTCATCCAGTCTTTCTCTGCCACCCTGGAGGACGTGGCTCACTCGGTGAGCACAGGGAGGGTGTCGTGGGCCCGCGGGCCGGAGCGCCAGACCTGGGCCACAGCAGGGCTTGGACCCTAGGTGCCCACCGGAGCCCGGGAGGCTGAGACCAAGGCGTCCGGACCGTACTGCCTCTTCCCAGGGCTCCAGGCAGCCCTGTCATTCCAGCCCCTGCCTCCGTCTCCACCCAGCTTCTCCGTAACTACGTCTGCTCCTCTGTCCCATGAGGGTGCTGCCGTTGGATTCAGACGCAGTGGGATCCCTGAGCGTTCAAGGCCAGCCTGGGCTACACGATGACATTTGTTTTTAAAATTTTTATTTTGATACTGGGGCTTGAACTCACGACTTTGAGCTTGCGAGGCAGTCACCAGAACCACTGAGCTAGACCCCCAGCCCAGTAGACTTTTATAATTAGGAATAAAAGCATTCATTAAAAAGTGAAATGACAGCCGGGGATTCAGCTCAGTGACACCACATCTTCCTCGCAAGCACAGGTCCTCAGTTCGATCCCCAGGAACGCCCAAACGAACAAAGGCGAATGACTAGCCAGGCGTAGTCTCAAACATTTCTAATCCCAGCACTCGGGAGGCTGAGGCAGGAAGATCTCCGCCAGTTCAAGCCCGCCTGGGCTCCATAGGGAGTTCAAGGGAATCCTGCAGTGCGTAGTGAGACCCTGTCTCGTAACAAATCAGAAAAATAACAGCCAGGCGTGGGGATTTATGCCTGTGATTCAAGCTACTGAGGAGGCTGAGGCAGGAGGATCCCAATTCCAAGCTCAGCCCGGGAAACTGAACAGAACGCTGTCTTGGGATGAAGCACCCGGGGACTGGGCCGCAGGCGCTGACCCGGGCCGCCCTGCCGCAGGACGTCCTCATGCACGTGCGGGACATCAGCCACCCTGAGAGCGAGCGGCAGAAGGCCACGGTGCTGTCCACGCTGCGGGGCCTGAGCCTGCCCGCCCGGCTGCTGGACTCGGTGCTGGAGGTGCACAACAAGGTGGACCTGGTGCCCGGGTAAGCGGACCAATCTAATGAGACTGGAAAGTGGTTCAAGAAGCAAGACCCAACAATATGCTGTGTAGAAGAAACACAATTAAAAAAGAAATTCATAAACTGAAAGTTAAAGG